GCAAAAGTCCAATTTACCCTTCTATGTAACTGTGCTCGAATATTTGTTTTTGGTCCAATCCGGCAAATTAAGGACATTTTTGGGTATTGTCTGGATAATTGCATAATGGCACTGTAATGGTTTGAAAAGATGTCAGATGGTATAGAATAAACAGAAGTCGCAACGGCCTAAATGTTGCTTTTAATTGAATTTTCATTGCGCCCAGAAAAAGTTTTATTCATCCCAATCATATTTCCATAAAAAGAGCAGAGTATCCTATCATAGATTCAAAGGGATATTGTTGTGGTGTAATGTACAACTTTGAACCTCCCCATTACAAAAAACTCCTTCAGTAAGCTTATTCACTGTACTAACCTCGAATCATGGTTGGACTCAGCCGACTTCCTTGTTCAATATTTGTTTCCTTTTAGTTCCTCAGAGCATTCATTTACTGATTTACAAGTTCACCAATCGTACATTTCAGTTGTCTACTTGTTTTGAAGTTTTGATTTTCAAAGTGAACTATAACGCCTTGTCTACCTTGGAATTCCCTCAATCACCAAAAGAAGCACCGGTCATTTTGTAACTCTGTCTTGCTGTATGTGCTTATGTGTTTATTACGGGGCAATCTATAGAACTCTTTGATTGGTAAAAAGGACGTATCCACTTGAGGATTCCTCTACCCCGTAATAGGATTTTGATGAGCAGAGCAATTGGTAGGATGTGTATGCAAATTTGGTACTGGCAACCACGTTGCTTGAGATTCCAAAAACTTGGTGCAAATTTTTTATGATAAGATGTATGTTAAGTAGGATGCGTATGCAAATCTCTGGCCTCTGGTCTTCTGGCTACCGAAGGGTGGCAACGATTTGATTTGGGGTTGGTTCGGCCAAAATCATAACTGCATCACCAAATTTTTGGTCATACCATAACCACGTAAATCCGTTCGGTTCGTTTCGATTAATAACCACAAAAATAAATTATTTTTTATAAGTTCAAACTCCAACAGTCAAATTGAAAAAAAAAAATTATGAAGAAAAATCAATAAAAACAAAAACACAATATTAAACCAATTAGCAAACAATATCCTGAATGAAAATGCAAACAATATCCCAACTTCCAAATGCAAAATTCGAATTTAACAAACAGTATTATCAACATAGGTCAAGACTCTTACTAACATAGAGAAACTGAAGAACACATAAACTAGCAAGTAAAACAAACTAAAAATCACATTTTCTGGGCTACGCATCATATATTAAAATAATATTATAAAGAAAATGAAATCAAGTATAATGTATCTAAGTTTTGTTGAATTGTACAAGGAAGATGGTTTGAAGCCAATGGACGCAGAATAACTTAGGGAGTGTGCTCACAAGATTGTAGACTTCGTTGCTGATTACTACAATTTGAAGTTGAGGTACAAGCAGCAGAGCGTCGACGGATCTGATTTGATTCATTGGTTGAGTGGACGAGTGTTTTGTAAGTTTGGTTTCCAATTTTCAATTTTAACGTGTAGGGTTAGAGTTATGTTATCGAGTTAAGGTTTACTAGTAATGTTAATTGGGCAAGAATTTTGGGGAAGCCCAATTGTCAAAATTGCTCAATTAATTTTGGGAAAGAATAATGAAAAGCCTAATTGCCCAATTAATTTTTTTTAACTGGTAATCGGTTCGTGGTGGGGCACCGTCGCTAAATACCATACCCGCCCCACCCCGAACCCGGTCATTAAAATCAAAACCATAACCACCCAATTGCACCATCGGTTCGATTTTTTTCGCCCCATTCGGTTCGGTTAACCGCGATTTTCCATTTTGACAGTTTGAATTGCTATCCCTATGGCTACCTATATTATATATGGACTCACAATGTCATTTTTTCCTTGACCGCATGATATAACCTGAAACATCTTCAGGGTTTTTATGAGATTTTTAACTCATTTTTGGCATCGTGTAATGTAGGATAAAATAATGAAGAATCAAAGTAATAGATTAATCAAACCGAAGGCGCGTGTTCACACGGTTTCCTTAAATCGAATTCGTCGCCTGACCATGGTGCACGATGTTTTGATCGGTGTAGAAACGGAGTTCGATTTAAGCTTGTAGGATAAAATAATGGAGAATCAAAGTACTAGATTAATCAAACCGAAGGCCCGTGTTTACACGGTTTCCTTAAATCGAATTCGCCGCCTCATCGGGGTGCACGAGGTTTTGATTGGTGTTTGATTCTCAGAATACAATCGGTTGTCGGTTCACGCTGCACTACGTTAACCGCCCACGAACTAGCCGTGTCTATCTCTCAAAAAAATCAGGAAAAAGAAATTTTTAAACTGGAAAGAAAAGCTTGTTGCTGGAGGTTAAACCGGGAAGAAGAAATTGTTGCTGGAGAAAGTTTGTATCTTTCACTTGTCCTTCTTCGAACCAAGAAGTCTCCTATTTATACTGATGGAGGAGGAGCCAACTCATTAATGCCATGAATGGGGAGTTATAGCATTGAAGAGAAATGGCTGAAGTTGATCTCCATAAAGCCTGAAACGGAAGTAGAAGAAATTGCAGAAACTGATGATCTGATTTTCATTTATTTCCAACATGTAATTCAATATATCTTGATTTTTTTTTCAGGGGCAAGTTTGTATCCAGATTATTTGCTGCAGCTTGCAGATACAGAAAATGCAGCCAGATGATGAGGAAAAATATCCGTACACTGGCTCTTTAGATTTGTGTCATGAAAACTCTCAAGTCAGGAGAGCCCTTCAAATTCTACACTGGTTTTCCAGTATATTGTGTTAGAATTGCCCCTCATGTCATGGTACGGTCCTCTATACCAACACAAACGAAAAAGAAAAAAAATACTTGTGACCTCTCACGAAATTATTGTCTGCACTCGCATTTTTGTGCTTAATTTTTTCTAAATTTCTGATTCTATGATTTGTATTGGTGCAGATGACCAGGATATTCCTGAACCAAATTCAGAAAGTGGAGAAATCTGTTGGGTTGTAAATCATCAGAGAGGTCTGGAAATTTCACACCTAAAACGTCATGGGAAATTTTGTTACAGTGACTTGAGACATTTTTTAGGGTGGGCATTCAAATTTCTCCCAAATTGGTTTTTGGAGGATTGCTATTTGGACATCATAAGAAATTGTACATGCACTGACCTGAGACATTTGTTTTGTTTGATTTGATTAAGCAAAATGTTGACACTTCTGAATCCGAAACATTGCTCTGTCGGGATTTCTACTATTTGGAGGGCGTTTCGCATCCTTCTGTCAAATTGATGATTATATACCACGATAACAAGATATCTATTGACAAATGGGTTTTACTTGGTGTACAGGTAGAGATTCACACCAAACACACACAAACAGGGATGGGTGGGGTATTTTTGGGTGGTTTTTTAATGAGGCGGATCCCGCATGTGAGAGGCTCGACTGTACCAGGCCTTTTACAGCTTGGCAGAGGAGCATAATTCTTGACAAATTGGCTTATAAATTTTGAAAAATATTGTTTGGCGGTTGAAAATTTCTGACAAACACTGTTATTCTGATCTAGAAAGTGTTATTTTCTCCATCACAATTATCATCGGAGTTCAAAGTAGAACGATGCGTAGGAATTTTTAGAAATTTACATCATTTTGGAATTTCTTTGATTTTCCATTTAACCTTTTCTGCATAGAAGCAAAGATTATTTATAATTCTATCCGGAAAATCATCAACTAGCTAGTGATATTGAGTAGAAATATTTTTTCCTTGTTCGATAAAATCAAAGAAATATCTTCTCTTAAGTTATCTTTGTCCCTCGAAAACGTAATCTCCAATTCTCAACAAATCAATGTCGAGTAGGAATTCGTTCATGTACGACTAACTACTGGATAAGAGAGGGGATGGGTTCAGGATTTAGATGGAGTGTCAATTTTAAAAATGAATTAATCAGGATAATAAAGATTAGAGTCATTCTTGAAATTAATGAAGTTTTTCATTATCCAAGACTACTGACGTCTGAAAGTAGCTATATATTTGTAAGAGCACTTGAGAATGATGAATTATTAAGAATCAAAACACCCTTTATTATTATTAACATGTCCTCCTTAAACTTTTAGATGTGTTATGATATCATGTTTAGAATATATTTCTAGTGTATAAACTTTTTGTTAAGGTTAACAATCACACATCTTAACTATGAAAGCAATAATCATTCTGGAGCAAAGAGCAGTGTTAATGCAAACAACCACAAAGGTTGAACTTACTCAATGTTAATTATTAATTGGAAGTAGCAATTAAGGTTAGACTTAAACCAACAAAAAGAAGTTGAAAATAATGATGGTTTAGCACTAAGATTAATGATAATAATTTGAAGAAAATTAAGAAGGGAGCAACTGATTGAATTTGAAGCCTGGAATCCAACTCATGCATGCATGCTACATCGATCATCTAATTAGCAATTAAACACAACCTCTTACAAGAAATATTTACTTTTGTCACCCAAAATCAAATCAAATCAAATATTTGTATATACAGTTTAGATTAATCCTCCCAATAAAAAGAAGAGTAATTTCTTAATCCAAGACGATGGTATTGAAGTGCGTGCATGTCTTGTGAAAAAGAAAGCCGTACATATTTTTCTTATTTACAAAGTAAATTCAAGATTCTTTACTCTTCCATTTATTCTAACATTTCTTAAATTCTATTTTGTTTGCGTCCCGTTTGCTGCAGTTCTAACCAACCAGTAACTCCTAAAAGTGACAATATATATGAAGAGCAATAAAAACATTTTTTTTTAATTTATTAATGGTATATTATACATTCCTTCGAGTTCTTCTTCAATTAGAAAGTATATCTTTACTGAAAATATAAATGAAAATAAAATATAAATTTAAGATCTCTCTCTCTTATTAATCAACAATAATTAATTAAAATCATCATTTTACATGCATAATAAATTCAAAAATGAACAACCAAACCAACTTACTAGTTACATTACATCAAACCAGACAAATCCCACATCAAATCAATAAGTAAAAACATGGGCAGATCAAAAGAGGAGAGCAAAAACGAGGGCCGCTACGGAGGCAAAGAAGGTGGGAATGAAGGTGGTGGTGGCGTCGGAGGTGGGGCCTGGAGCCGGAGGATCAGCGGCGGAGACACCGTTCACGGAGGAGAGTGCTATCAACATGAGGACCATCAAGGCAGTTGCCAGCATCTTCATCTTCAGTGCCTCCATTGCTTCTTCAAAAGAAAGATAATTAAGATATATATATACGTATATATGTGTATATATAGAGAAAGAGAGAGGCTATGCAATTTCTATTTGAAGAAAAATGTTATGTTTTATAGAGATGGGGCTGGATGGTGGAGTTTATATACAAATGGAGGTGAAGCGCTATTCGGGGCAGGTTAACGTTAAAAAAAAAAAAGCTTCATTGCTGTTTTTCTTTATCTTTATCTTTTTCTTTTTTGTCTGGTCAATCATTTATAGACACCTTCCTTTTACTCCTCTCTTTTGTTTGAACAAAAGTTTCAATTTTTTGATAGAATTCAGGTGCTAGGAGACATCTCTTTATTCTTTTATCAATAGCATAAGCTAAGTGTCGCATGGTAACTTGAAAGAGTCAATTTCACAGTAAGTTACTAATTTTCAAAGTAAAAAAAGTAATAAGTTAGTAATGTAAGCTCACGATTGACACAGTTGTTTGTGGGTCGGTCACCACCATAACATTGCCTCTTTTTTTCTTCAAGTCTTAACCACTATTGTTTTGTTGTATGAAAGAAAAATTGATCAACTTGGCTTAGCTAATAATTACTGCTTTTGTTGTATACTTTAGTCAATTTTTAACTTGATTGTTTCCAAGTTTCATAATTAGTTTACCTAATCTAGTGCTCCCATCTTGGTTTACCTAACAAAGAATTTATATCTCACACTATTGACTACAAAAGCTTGCAATATCTATTTTAGAATTTAGACGTAATTTAATCCAAGAACTTTAACTTTTCATTTATGTACCCTTTTTTGTTCATGGCTTTTCTACAAATTCTAAATCGATACTTGTCAATATTCACAAATTCTAAATCAATACTTGCCCGATTTTTATTTTTGTGGGAGGAGGATTGGGTTCCGGTGTTGTTATGGTATGTCCGAGGGGTGTAGTTTGTGGTGGAAGTGGTGGGAATGGTGTAAAAATGAATATTACAAGTTGAGTTGGCAGCAACGGCCATGGTGACGGTGAAAATAGATATCGATATGTGCGCAACACACTGTAAAGGTGGTGAATACTGCAGCGAAAATAGGTTAGGAAAAGTGTAACATAATACAACAAATAAGTTACAAAATGTACTGTAAATTAAAAAAAAAAAAATAGTACTTTGAGAATAAAAAAATATAAACGAATATTTGGAATTAGTAAAGTGTTTATTAGTGTTTTTGTGAACTGGTTAAATGATATAGTATATTTGGGCTATTTTCCTTGAGACTAACGGACCAAGGTCCGAGGTCCATCATAGATGTGTTGGGAAAAAAGGGAAAAATTCATAAATAAAGTGTTTAGTTTACACCAATTCAAAAATCATATTTATAATTTGAAAATTAGGCGATGTAGTAATTCATGTAGTATATTTTGTAGTACATATAGTTTAATCCTTGTTACTTTTTTACTATTTAAAAATTCAAGGGACAAATAGCTCTTTTTATCGCTCTTAATGAATTTTTTGTACGAAAATTGTCATAAGGTACTCATTAATGAAAAATTGAATATATGAACGTAATGAAAAAAAAGTCGAAAATATAAATGTAATAATGATTAAATGTTATTAAGTTTTCATGCAATAAAAATATGGTGTCAATATATATGGTCATGCATGATAATTTGGGATTTGAGTTAAGTGCAGATTAAGTATTGAAAGTGAACGTCCACCAACAAACTTTTTTTTATTAGACTTAACAAATATTAGATACTTGTTTAACGATTTAGAATATCTTAGTTAATAAATAAAAATTGAATCATAAATGATTTGCGCTTACATAGCCCCTTTGCACCAATCTTGTTTTTGTTTTTGTTCTTTTTATGGATACATTATTCTTGTACAAGTTTCTAAATGGCAAAGTAAACCTATTGGTCTATCAAGCTAAATTAAACTTATTAAAATGATAATGATACTATTAAAAATAATTACATATAATTTAAGCATCGCTTTCTTTGAGAATAAAATTATTATTGCTGTTTGTATAAGTGTTTCAAATGGAAGAATAATTTTCAATTAGAAGTCGATATCCAATAAATTTGGACGATGACGACAAAACGATGTCGGATGTTTTATTGACACCAAAGTGACGGCTGGACTCCAAATCAATTAATATACTTTTGGAGGGCCTAAATTTCAATTGGATTTAGTTGTGATATAACATGGTAACACATATAGCCTTGGAAAAAATTCATAAATAAGATGTTTAGTTTATACCAATTCAAAAATCATGTTTATAGTTTGAAAATTCAAAGATCAGGTTTTTTTTTTAATTCTAATATAATATAATATAATAAACTCACCCCACATGCACCACCCCTACAGCTCCGGGGCTATTCCGGCGACCATTCCAACCACCACTCTTCTCCGACGACCACTCTTCTCCGGCGACTATTCCGACGACCATTCCGGCGTCTATTCCAGCAATCATTCCGATCACATATTTATAATTTAATTAGTCACATAATAATTTTCAGTCACAAATAATAATTTTTATACGTCATAGATTATTTTATGGTCACAGTTCAAAAATTTTATAGGTCACATTCAATTCGTTGATCACAGATTTCAAAATTAGTTAGTCACATTAATTTCATTGGTCACATATTTTCAAATTTGTTGGTCACGGATTATTTTTCAGTTACATATTGTCAAATTTTTAGGTCACAGTTAAATATTTGGTCACAGATAACCAAATACTTGGTCACATACCACTGAAATAAAATGTGACCTATAAACCCAACCCGTGATCCCGATCTACCAATAGTTGGTCACATGCACCAACTGACACGATCGCCAGAAATCATCACAGCCACCAGGACCTCACCAAAATCGCAATCACATCCACCACAACCACTAGCACATCTAACTGCACAACCAACAAAAATACCCAACCACCACAACACCACCACCACGAGAACCGCACCTAACCACCACAACACCACCACCAACACCGCAACACCATCATCTACCCACCAAACACCGTCATCGATCTGAAAAGAGTTCCCAACTCCAGCAAGGCCAACACTACCATGTGAACACGGTAGAAATTGAGGGTAGGATAGAAGCGGAACTGGGGAATGCAAAAATGGAGTGTCTCAATCTAATAAACGTGACTGCCTCAACTACGATTCAGAACCAGATCCGAATTCCGACTCAGAATCTAGAAAATCTGAGGGCAGCAGAAAACGAATGAAGAAAAAGAATAAAACTCGAACCTCCAGTTCCAAGAGAAAACGGTCAAGAGATAGTGATTCCTACCCTTTGTTGTCTGATTATGATGATTTAGTGATTCGGAGTCGGGCAGTTCACATTACATCGATCTGAAAGGAGTCCCCAACTCCATCGCACATACCACCACAAACATAAACACCACCAACACCACAACCGCACCAAACCACCACCAACACCACAGATCTAAAATCACCACACACACACCACAGTGCCACACCACACACCAAAATCACCATCCAAAACTCTTCCCCACCACACACCCACAGCAGTAGCGCCTCGACGCTGTGTAAGGCAGCTCGCGACGCCAGCAGCTCGCGATTCACAGTCGTACGAGTGGAGATGGGAGGGAGAGGGAGGAGAGGAGAGGAGGGAGAAGGGGAGGGGACGAGAACGCCGACAGTCGCGTCGCTGGTGGAGACGGGAGGGAGAGGGAGGGGGAGGAGAGGCGGAGAAGGTGAAGGTGAAGAGACGGGAAATGAAAAATTAGGATGGAGACGGGATTGATAAATTAGGGTTTTAATATACTACCTGATATTTGCAAAAATAAACTTGAAACCTAATGTTTTTAAAATGTATACCTGACTTTTAAAAATGTCAAATTAAACCCCTGATTTTTTGTAATTTCCCGGGAAAAAATACTTCACAAAATACCAGGCTCTATAACAATAAAGCCCAATCACAGCGGAATAATAATTTTCCCTCTTTGTGTGTAAAATTAGGATATAAGCCAGTCGATAAATATACCACTACGCACCAAATTAGTAGCAATCACAAAATCAACACACCAATTTAACATGGAAAACCCTCCACATTAAAACTTTCACTATGAAAATAATGGGTTACACAAATTTCTCTCTAGATAATACTAGAGGTACACAAACTTCACACAAAGGTGGATTTCATAAAATTACATCAAACTAAAGTTTGGATATTGTCACCAATCAGAAGCAATACAAGAGGGGAATCGACAATCCAACCGGTAGATACGTAGCTTGAGTTGTCACCAAAGATATACTGTAATTTGGGAAAGATCGGAGGAGCATTCACGGTTGAATCTTGCAAACCACCACCAACACCACAACCGCACCAAACCACCACCAACACCACATATCCAAAATCACCACACAACACACACCACAGTGCCATACTACACACCAAAATCACCATCCAAAACTCTTCCCCACCACACACCCACAGCAGCAGCGTCGAGGCGCTGCTGTAATTCACAGCAGCGCCTCGACGCTGTGCAAGGCAGCTCGCGATTCACAGTCATGCGAGTGGAGATGAGAGAGAGAAGGGGAGGGGAGGGGATGAGAACGCCGGCAGTCACGTCGCTGGTGGAGACGGGAGGGAGGGGGAGGAGAGGCGGAGAAGGTGAAGAGACGGGAAATGAAAAATTAGGATGGAGACGGGATTGATAAATTAGGGTTTTAATATACTACCTGATATTTGCAAAAATAAACTTGAAACCTAATGTTTTTAAAATGTATACCTGACTTTTAAAAATGTCAAATTAAACCCCTGATTTTTTGTAATTTCCCGGGAAAAAATACTTCACAAAATACCAGGCTCTATAACAATAAAGCCCAATCACAGCGGAATAATAATTTTCCCTCTTTGTGTGTAAAATTAGGATATAAGCCAGTCGATAAATATACCACCATGCACCAAATTAGTAGCAATCACAGAAAAATCAACACACCAATTTAACATGGAAAACCCTCCACATTAAAACTTTCACTATGAAAATAATGGGTTACACAAATTTCTCTCTAGATAATACTAGAGGTACACAAACTTCACACAGGTGGATTTCATAAAATTACATCAAACTAAAGTTTGGATATTGTCACCAATCAGAAGCAATACAAGAGGGGAATTGACAATCCAACCGGTAGATACGTAGCTTGAGTTGTCACCAAAGATATACTGTAATTTGGGAAAGATCGGAGGAGCATTCACGGTTGAATCTTGCAAACTACCTCTCTCTCTCTCTCCCTCCCTCCCCCTGTTTTTCTTGTGTGTGTTTTCGGTGACCAATATACACATATACACACACAAACACTTTCTATTTTCTTTTGTTTTGTTTTGGGCTTTTATAAAAAACAGCCCACATCAAGTGGACTTAAACTCAACGAGATGCAATAATAAGGCCAACAAATAACAAGCCCAATAAATAATTCGCACGGCGATTGAGAGTGTGACAGTCACATCGCTCCGTTGAATGATATTTCAATGGGATTTATTAAGGGCAAAACGGGAAAAAGAGTGAAGTGAATCGAAAAATATTGATTTTGTTTAAGAAGCTAATAAGAAATTGAAAACGAGAGAAAGCAGTATACAAAATTGTGGTGGAACAAACTATTCGATGGTAGCCAACCTTTTTTAAATTAATTGTTGGGTGATTTTACAAAGTATGATTTTCACTGATAATATATGTAGTAGATTCATGAAGGGATCAGCCTCAGGGGACTTCCATTATTCCAGTAAGGTGTTTGGCCGGAATTACTTGCTACATTATACATTCTTGTGAGTTTTAAATTGATGGATTTATTAGAAGAAAGTAACGGTCTTGTTTACTGAAGTTACCAAATCCATATTGACAATTTTGTGTCCCTAAATCTAACTGGAATTTAAATTTTCCTCTGAAAACCTCAATGTTAAAAGAGACTTTCTTTTTAGGGTTAATCCATTTGTACATAATGGAATACCCCCTCTCACATAATGTGCGGGCCCGCGTGTATTTAAAAATTTCGACGATGCAGTCCTCATTTCTATTGTGAGTAGTAGGTAAAAAATTCGGTACATATAACATCATCCATCTTTTTATAGGAATTAACTTTATAATCCCTTTTGTTTGTAAATTCAAAATTTCAACCCTTAAAAAGTACTGTTAATGAAATAATGGAGAAACTTGTCATATAAAAAGGTTGTCAAACATATTATAAATGGCGCTCCACGATTTGCAAGATTGGTGGTGGTGGTGATGGGTTCTTTATAAAAAAGTTTATCCAACAAGAATCCAAAGATAATCAAAAAGTTGTCTGTTCCACTCACATGCAGATCTCATCCAAATGGGCTACTACCTTCTCAGACACATCACACTATCTCTTGAGTTGCTATCTATGATCTAACCGGGTCCAACATAGTGTTGGAACAGGCAAAAATCATGTGTTCAAGTTTCATCGGAAAAAAGAAAACTCACCTTCACGGCTATGTAGACATGTTAAAAAATGATATTTAAAAATATACATGCGACACAACCTCATTTATTTGAGGCATTCATCCATTAATTTGGCTAGAAGCACTCCCAAGCGTGGAGTGTTTAACAAAGAAAATGACATGCCTGTTTCATTCTAGTTTTGAAGAAACTAGGCCATTTCTCCATTCACTTGCATGGGAGAAGAAAACAAAAGGGTCAAAACTTGCCACTACAAGATCACATTTACCAAACAAACTTGGAAAAATAAAAAAGAAAAAGAACTGAGAAAGAGTTGTACAAAAGAGAGGTAGACATTAGATACATTGAATGATACAATGACTTGAAGGTTCCTTTTTCTTTTTCCTTTTTAAGTTCATGGGCAATTAGGATTTCTACCGGGACCTCCGTAATAGAAGTAATGACCCCAATCTCCATTACTCCCTGTTTGGACATCATAGCAGTTTGATTGCTCAGTGAAGGTGCCAAGATCTTTGGGAGCCTTTAGATTGTTGGAGCTGTCAACAACTTGAATATTCCTGAAATAGCTTGACTTGCCAAACCCTTCTTCTGGGAAACGACCACTGCCCATTTGAGTCGAGGTGTGCTGTCCATCGGGTTCTGAGTTTACAACCTCTCCACCCCATTCAATCATGGAAGCACTGTCTGCTAAGTAGGAGAACAAGAAAGACGGCCAATAGCCCAACACATAGTTACTGCCAAACTGCATCCACCAGTTTCCCTCTTTTGGATCCTAAAATGGAAAGGTAACACAAAAAAAAATAAAAAGGATAAACAAACATAGACCCCAAAAGAAAGGCCCCTTAAATGGACCTAAATTGCTTTCCGCTCAAGCACACCCTCTTAATCAATACGGTGAATATCTAGAAATTGCACTGCTTTTTTATAGTTGTGTGATTCCGGTGCAGCATGGTAGTCGTAATTATTAATAGCAATAATACCCCTGTAAGGTACTAGAGAAATTGATGCAATCCAGAATAAAAGGGCAAGATTCTCAGCATCGGAATAATATTGATTGTTTTTTTGTCGCAATTATTAAATTATATAATCAGCTACTTTTTCTGCATAAAGATCATATTAACTTCATTTTTTCTATTAACTTGGAGATTCAAATTATGGTTGGTGCCTCCACACATTAACAAAAGGTAGGTAAAATTGGATTTACCTTCCAGACAAGGATACTAATATCATATTGGGAATTTCTAAAGGCAGAAACTGGAGAGATGCTTGCACCCATTGCTATTTCATTGTTGACTTGAATGAAACCAGAGCAAAGAAGATTGTAGCAGCCTGTGGCTTGATATGCATCACTCTGTAATTATAGTCATATTAAAACTTTTACGTCTGACGGCATAAGGAGAGGAAAAACAAGAGAAGAAACTGCAGATTTGTAAGCTTACAGTCCAATAAGTGAAGAGCCTAGTGTTGTTATCACCGTAGAGATCTGGACTGACCTGAAACCATGTGCATCATATTCAAAGATGTAACCATATGAAATTTCTTAGCTGTCAATTACAATATCTTGACACTCCAATTTTACAAGTATTATCTAGTGAGTCATTTGTTAATTTAAGCTAAAATATACCTGCCAACCAGCTTCAATGCTGTTAAGATCTTCGCCAAAGGAACCACCCAAAACCCAAATCTGAGACAGGCTGAACTCATTAGGCTGTTGTATTTTGGGTTCCCACACATTAATAGTTGCTTTTGCTCCATAATACTTTTCTCCTTCAACATACGCTATAGCATGCTGGTAATTAGCCCACAAAGTCAAGAATGTCACATTATGAAAACGGAAATCACTTCAATATTAAAGAGTCCTCTTTTATCTTTGCTTTATTTACCTGATGACCACTTTGCTTGATGATGTCAGGATCTGCAGACCTTGGCTTGGGAATGGTTCTGTGTTTCTTCTTTCCATACCTTTTCACAGAGCTTGATCTCAAAATATCTTCTTTCTTTGTTCTCCTTATGGGTATGGTGTCCTCAGGGCACTTACCATTCATATGCCAAAGCTGAGTGATATCATTTGCTCTTTCTTTATGCTCTGTGGATATTTTTTTCTCATCAAAAAGCCTTTCTGGATGGTAGCTAGGCCTAGTCTGATATCAGCACAGAACAGCCCATGTGGAATAGCAAAAAACATTATGTAAACAAATAAACACTAAACTAAAAAAGGATGAAAAAGCGGACCTGGATTTTGTGGTCTTTGAGGAATGGGTGGTCGAAAGCTGGCTGATGAGAGATGTGAACACAGTCAATGATATCCCCATCTGGACTCTGTTCATAAAATTAAACCCAGATAAATCAATACTCTAAGACTACGAAACAGATAAACCATAAATGTGATACTGAAATCATAAGAAGAACCATCGAAGCTTCAGTAGCTAAAGCTTAAAAATGGAAATAAAGAGTGCAGTAACCCTCAGCATTTATGAACTGAAAAAAGTTCAGAAAAAGGGGAAAAAGAAACAAACAAGAAAGACCACAGAACTAGAATTTTACAACTCGAACTAAACAGTATAACTAGAAAACATTTATACAGTAGAGAGAGAGAGAGAGAGAGAGAGAGAGAGGGTGCCTGAATGGTTTTAACAGGAGTTTTGTTGAGTCTATTCAAGTGCTTCTGAACTTCGAGCTTCTGTCTAGAAGCAGAGAGCCTACCAGCGCGTGATAGCGAGATTAGACTCCATAAGCATAGGAAAAAGAACACAAATCTGGCCGGATTTTTCCTCCTCCAACGGCGGCCACTGCTAAACTGCGCAGCTGGCATTGTTATCAAGATTCAAGAAGCCAAACCCAAGTAAAAGATGCAAACTTTTTTTACAAACACCGGGCACACTACACAAGGTGCAGATTAAAGCATCCCAAGATTCAAGCACACCACTCCAACATCAACCCCTCTGCTTATCCTACGCACCCCTCTCTCTTCTGGAGTTTAACAATTTCTGCACCGAGGGTGACGGGTGACCCCTCTGAAAAATCCAATACAACGCAAATATCTGTGGTTTTATTCAGAATTTTACATATATATTGTCTTGGCTTTTGAACACGAGGGGTAAAAAGGAGAAGTGGGACTGAGTGGAAAAAAATGGCGACGACTAATCTGTCCTGGCTGCACTGCACCCCACTGTCGTCCTTTGTCGTTTAGGGTCGGTCCACCGCCGCTGAGAACTATTAAGTTTCCTGTTTTACCCTTTCAATTTGAACACTACGGCTCACCTTACCACATTGCCTCTTTCTATACCCTTATTTTCGATTCTCAACGGTAATTTTTTTAAGGGTAATTAACGTCCCTTTAGAGATGACAAACGAGCCGACGAGATCGCTCATCTTGTGAAAACACGAGTCCGAGCCAAGCTGTTGAGCTCGTGGGTTCGTGAAAAATTTAAAAATACTGAAAAAGTAAAAAAAAAAAACAATAATAATTATAAATAAATAAATTCAAAATGTTCGCGGGCTCGCGGCTCGGCTCGTGAGCTCACAAGCTCGTGGGCCGAGCTGAGCTCTCCCACAAGTCACGAGCTAGTGGGTTTAAGGGTCGAGTCGGCTCGGCTCGATCCATTGCATGACAACGCCCCTTTCATTATTATCGTGAAAACATCATTACATTTCGTTTTTTGATATTTTCACCCTTATTATAAAAAATGTTATTTTCACCAATTTATTCAATTAAAAATTGTGAACTTACTGATATATCATTCTCTATAAATAAAAAAAATAAAATTGCAACCACATTTTCAAATTTAAAAAAAAAAATGCAAATGGGTTCTAAATAAATTATTAAGGCCACGTTTGAGCCACATTATTTTTTTCGTTCTTATTCTTCTTCTTATTTTTAATCACACATTTTTCAATAAAATAATATTTTTCCTCACATCAATAATTTTTGCTTCTTTTTCAACCATATATCCTTTATCACATCAACAGTAAAAATGCATTCTTTTTTAAAAAATGTGCACCAAATGGGGGCTAAAAGGATAATCGGCATATAATGTCATTACCTTTCATTGTTATTGCGAAAAAGTCTATACATGTTTTTTTTAGCATTTTCACACTTAATTATACATTTGATTGCACAAATCATTCTTTATATTCATTTTCATCCAATTTCTCAATAAGAGGTGTGAAATGACGAATATAACCTCATATTTAAATTAAAAAAAGTTAAAGAATTAATTGCAATCATAGTCCCAGATTTTTTAAAAAGTGAAAAGGAGTCACAAATAAATTATTAAAAAATAATTTTTTTTTAATAAAAAAAGTGAAAACAAGTCCCAAATAAATTATTAAAAAAATTTAAAAAATAATTTTCTTTTTATTTATTTAAATGGGATGGATATATTCACAATTTCACATCTCTTTATTGACAAAATGGATGAAAATGTATAGAAATGATGGTTTGCGCAATCAAATGTGTAATTAAAGGTGAAAATGCTAAATAAATTAAAGGTATGAACTTTTTGCAATAATAGTGAAAAATATGGACATTATGTGCTAATTAACATTTTAATAATTTATTTGGGATCAATTTGCGCTTTTTACAACAAAAAAAAAAGAAAGAAACTATGGTTGCAATTAATTTTTTTTTTTATTTAAAGAAAATGGTATATTCATTGGTTCACAATTTTTAATTGAAAAAATGAATGAAAATGACATTTTGCACATTGAAATGTGGAAATGAGAGTGAAAATGTTTAAAAAAATGAAAGTATTCAACAAGAAATTCTCCGTTAAAAAATTAAGCTATGTTTGATGGTCATTATTGCGTAAAAATAATATTTTGAGTAATGATTTTTTTTTTGAAAAATGTGTGATTAAAAATTGGAGAAAATATTATTTTATATGAATGTGTAGTAGTTAAAAGTGAGTATGATAAATAAATTTCAATCTTGTTACACGTACTGATGTACATCCTAATTTACGCCCTAATTTATCGAATTTATATTTGGCACAATCTCACACCATCTTTTACATATCACACATTTAATCAAATTACTATCACTTTCACGTCATCAACCTGTCAATCAAGATATACAAATAGCTTAATCTAAATTTTTTTTTTAAAGGGAGTCAAACAACAACCAATTCAAAACGATGTGTAAATTGTGGATAGGAATTGATGGATTATGAAAGTGGCATTCCAAAATATATATTTTGAAATTAGAACTACCGATCAATGATTTTTTTTATTTCATTTTTTGCAAGAATTTGACTGATGTTTGCGTACAAATATCTCACGAATGGATCGTTGAATTTTAATCATAACCGTTATATTTGAAGAATAATAGCTAAGAACTTATTGTTTAAATTTCACGGTGATCGGACCATGGAGCACTAAGATAACAATTTTTTTATCACTGTGCAAGCTGTTCAAAATTTGTGAATTTTTTGCACTTTTGATTTTGAATTTTCTATATATTTTGGTGAGCTCTAACATACAAATGACGTGTTATAAAACTAAAGAAACAAGATAAGAATAAGAATAATAGAAAAGTCAAAACTTAAATGTGTATTTTATTGATAATCAAGATCCGTATTTATATGATACAAAATGAGAGTAAACTCTTCTAGAGTAAATATGACCTATGTATCATATTTATCTCATAATTTTACAACATTCTCCAAGTTCTCGGCCATATTTGCATGTGATTACATTTTCAATCTTTAAAAGTGATTTTGAAATCTTCAACATATTTAAACTTATAAATTTGGACTTTTATGTGATAAAAATAAAAATGAAGCAACGTTCACATGACTTAAAGCCAAGGATAATAATGTCAAACCACTTAAAATTTATCTCCAATTCAATTAAAATCCGGTAAATATATTCACACCACAAATCTTAATTTCATTTAGTTTTTACAATTATGTTTCCAACTTTTCCCATTGCAATCGTATTCCATTAACTAATATATATTGTCCTTGACGATGTTTTTGTCCAAAAAATCCGTGAAATTAGTGCAAATATTTTAAGCCGCGCATTTGTATTTATTATTTTTTACTTAAGACTACGAGAGATAAATAAGTCTTTTTATATCCTTATAATAATTTTTTATAATGATGAAATACACAAATGAACAACTTTTTTATACTATATTGGTACATAAGAATTAATTGCTAATACATGAATTTCATTAAATCAAATCAAATTTCATTGAATCTAAATTAACGTGAATGTTAATTAATTGAGAGTTAATAACACGAAATTAATACACGATAAAAATTTTGTAGTATTTATTATATATTGAAAAATGAAAAATAAGGTGTCTTATTGAAAACATAGGCTAAGTTAATGTTACTAATTAATTGAAAAAAAAAAAACTGGATTAGATGAAGAATGGCAGGCTCAGTGGCTCACAGCCCAGCACTCTGCATAGTTTGTGCTTCCATCGACCGAACTACCTTTTGTCAAAGAAATGCAGCTGAGCTATTTCATCTAAATAACTTACAATGCACAATCATAAGCTACTTCGTCCACGAATCTAAGGGAGTATGGTGATTCAACTTAATACTTAATAGCATAACATGCAAAGACTTTGGACCAAGTTTGGTCGTAACCCATTTATTTAATTTTCATGTATATGTTGAATACGCGAGGGAACATGTTGAGAATTAATTTTAAATGAGTAAATGCCTCTCATTCTTTTTTAGATGAGGTGGTTGATCATTACATTTTTAATGCAAAAAACTCTTATAAACTAACACCACTTATATCTAACTAATGAAAAATTTGGCTCGATCTCTCTAATCTTTGAACTATTGTGGTTTTGACTCCCAATTCTTAAAAAATGAAATTATGGGTCTTAAAATATTTAAATATGTAATGTAGTCTGTCTCACACGTGAATTTTACGTAAATCAAACTTTGAGGGCAATATTCAAATTACTTAACATACAACTTTTAGGTCACGTTTTCACGTGATTTTTACATTTATATTGATGGTTTCTACTATGTAGAAATTCAAATTCACAAATATAAATGGATTGGGAGTTTAGAAGTTCACTTTTATAGATTATGGACCCAAAACTATACTAGAAATGTTGGGGAGCCAACTCGAATTTTCCCTAAATTAATTCAACATTGAAAGATAGAAATTTCTAAAAGAAACAAAAATATTGAAAATTAGCTATTTTCAGCCTTGATTGGAGCAAACAAAAAATGGTTTCACAATAATTGGGATAATTTAGTCATCTGCTTTTAGTTGAACTTATTGTCCTCCACTGTGAGCACTGACTGACCAGTCGACGCGTGCATGTCCACCAGCTTTGACCCAGTCCGTGAGTGCACCCAACTAAATTGTGAAATCACAATGCACACATCTTCAATAATCAAAGAATCTAGTGGGCCCAATCACAATGCACGCACGAATCCTATGGTTCAAACACTCGTCTGGGTTTTACTTTTACCTCTGTACTATTATTGAACTATGTTAAAATCAAATATTTAGTAAATTTTGATAAGAATTGATGTAATGTGTGATTGAAAAGTTGTAGATCTCATAAAATATGTGATTAAATTTAATTATTGACTTTGACTTATATTAAAATCTGAATTTTAATTTCTATTAAACTTGTGCTTAATAGATCATCGTACCTAACCTTACACTTCAACATTGATAAAATCTGAATTTTAATTTCTATAAAACAAGGACTTAGTTTTAAACTGACTAGTAAACTTCGAAAATTTTTCAATACTTTATTTCACTGAGGATTGACCACCACAAGTAATGCAGAACTTTCACCTCGAGAGTTAAATTTAGGAAAATGTGTGT